ATTGCTCACAGTGCTCCAGAGAGAGCACAATTTGTTTCTAGTGGTGCTACCCCGGAGGCCGCCTCAGCTACTGCTGTATCAAATCAGGACGCCGATGTACAACACAGTTACAATTCATAGTGCAGATAGGATCTTAATATATATCCTTTGATGATATGCATAATTTTTTATCCTACAGTCCTCAGATGCAAGGGAAGAGGGTATTCTGGCAAATAGAAAGTGAAATTGTGTCTGAATTTATCAGACAGCAACTCCTCCAGATCCATCTTCTTATACCTGTCCCCAAGAAAGATACGTGGGGACAGATAAAAGCAAGTTGCAGTCTTCACTTGGGACATAAGCAACCGAATTCCACTGTCTAGAGAGTTTCCAAATTGGGGGTGAAGGAAGTGTGAAGAACCGGTCTCAGATTCTGTAGGATCCTAGGAGCTGAGTGCTCCCTGCCAGCTAGGATCACGTAGCAGTGATCTGACCGGCTTCCGAAGGAGCGGGTCCTTCAGGAAGCAGCCAAGAGGTGCTGCACACAACTGTTCCATTGCCAGCCCATGCGGTGCCCACCCAGTTCCCTCTGCTGGTGGGCTGCATAAGGGGACTCTTTGAAGCTCCCCAGGATGGGGTCTCTGAGTAACCTGCATCTCTGTGCTGTCTGGAGAGCATGCTCCTATACCCTAGGGGGAGGAGAGGAGACTCAGGGAACAGTTTTGCTATAACTAAAACCCCCTTTTTGTTTCTAAATTTGAAAGGAAAAATACATTACTTTGTCCTCATCTTTGAGGTGGACAAATTGAACTTTGTATATGCTGCTGAGTGGTCTTGAGCTGTCTCTTGCTACATGCCTCTCCTTGCTGGCTGTTTTGCCTCTTCCCTCAAGATCAGGAACCAAGATAAGGGAGTGGATTGCACTGGGAAGCCGCTAGGGAGGAACCAGCCTAGCACCTGGACTAAATCCACACAGGGAAGCAGAGCCAAAGCTTTGAAGAAATCAGAGGGTTTCTGACCTAGTTGAAGGAGGGAGAGGGAAGGGAACTCATTACCCAGGCATAAAAAAGAAAACAGAAAAGAAAAAGAAGAAATCAAAGAAGCAAACCCTGGAAGCCATCTACAAATACAACTGAATCAGCAGGCTGTTTACATCACTGCTGCAAGGTGTAGACTGGGCAAGACTTTACTTGTTTAAAACTTTAAGTAGGTTCAGCTGTGTCAGGGCATATCTGGTATATAGGGGAGACCTTCTCCTCAGTCTTATTGATACTGTGGAAAAATTCTTCCAGCTGCTGAACTTGCATTTGGGAGTCCTGTTGCTCATATTCCAGCTAATACATTGCATTTTATGTTTCCCTCATCACCTTCGGAGCTGTTTCTTAAAAACATTTTTCTGTCTGCTGGTGACAGTCCCATATATATTCACACCTGAAGGCTTCAACATTTTCCCATTGCAGTGCGTACCAACTTGGTATTTACAGTTCTTTTAGACTCTCCACTGACTTTGGGCAGAAGCAGAAGTTGCAGGGCTTCCTCCATCAAGACACTAAAGAGCCAGCATCATACGTGGGACTTCAGGAAAGGAACCGGGCTCTTCACCTATGCATCTCCACCCACGTTTTCACAGAGGTAAGAGCCTGCAAAATGTTCCCCAAGTTACTGCTGTGTTAAGAAGCTTGAACTTAACTAGCCCAGGTCTTCTTGTGGCCTTGCAGTTCCTTTCAAATTTTAGCTCAAGGTAGGCGTGCTCAATATAACTGTGGCCTTCCCAGGTGCCTTTGGTGCTGCAGCAGAAGGGCAAAGATTGTTAGTGGCAGCCATGTCTGCAGGTAACATATTAAATAAAGGCTGAAGGTCCCTGTACTATAGGGTCCAGATAGGATGATTTAGGGGCTGGGAACCACAGCAAGTAGCTTTCGTGGAAGGCTATGCATGTCTCTGGACATCCATAGGGGAGAGGAAATGAGATTAAGGGTGTTTCTGGAGAGGAACAGCAGGAGAAAAAGGTCTCAGGAGACAAAGATGATAATATATGCTGTTAAATTAGGGGAGACTGTAGAAAGGCAACGTATAGCGATGGTTATTTTGGAGACCTCCACTGACTCTTGGGTGTAAAGCTCTGCTAGCCTGCACAGTCAGCTCCCAGATCTTGTTGTCCTGCCTCTTGTCTGAAACTCATCACATCTTTTCTCCCCACTACTGGAGAGGCTGACATTGCTTACCATCCCAGTGGAGAGAGCGCTGTGTTCCTGCTTCCTCCCTCAGCCTGCTCCCTGTGACAGCCACCTCTGAAAGGCAGAAAGCTTTCTGCCTTTGGTATTATAAATGTGGACAATTTAGGGAGAAGTCCTATTCCCCAGCAGTTTCAGTGCTTGATTTAAGAGGAGGGCTGCCATCTGGAGAGACCTACACAGGCTGGAGGAATGGCCCAATGGGAACCTTAGAAAGTCCAGAAAGGGCAGATGCAGAGCCCTGCCCCTGGGCAGGATGAAGCCCTTGTGTGAGAGCAGGCCAGGCCCTGGCCGCCTGGGGAGCAGCTCTGCAGAAGAGGACTTGGGGTCCTGCTGAGCAGCGAGCGGGCACATCCCACACCAGCATCCTGGGCTGTACTGACAGGAGCAGAGCTGCAGGTCAAGGGAAGTGATTATCCCCCCCTTGGCTCAGCACTTGTTAGACTGTGTCTAGACACTGTGTCCAGCTTGGGGCTGCCCAGGGCAAGAGACCTGGACAAGCTGGAAGGAGCTCAGTGGGGACCGCCAAGATGGTCAGGGCCAAAGCACTCACCCTGCAAGGAAAAGCTGGGGCAGCTGGGCTCAGTCTGCAGGCTGCCTAACAGCAGCCCCCTAGTTACTCTGAGGAGGGTGTAGTCAATACAGTTGAGTAAACAGACATTTTTAAGAACACAGTTTATTCTGGTTTTATTTCTCTTTTCCAGTCCATTGCTAAGAAAAAATCATGACTTTTCCCTGATGGAATGATTCCTGTAACTTTTCCCTCACAAAAATGCCTAACTAACACCTCCTATAATTTCTGTTTCTACACCACAAAATATTGAG